AATTTCCAATCATGCTAGGAGTAGAACAGCCCAAACCCCACCCCAGTAGCCAAAAAACACACAGAACCAATAGAGATTATCTATAATCCACACATAAAAGGTAAAGAGGGAAGCAAAAGAGTAAAAGAAACTCATCAGCATTATGCTAACATTATAAACCCATTAACCAAAATCCCAATTCAACACTGTCCATTAACCAGTTAATCACTAAAACTAACCTGTTCAATAAAAACAAAGAAAACCCATCTCCAAAATCATAAATTTATTCCCATATTTGGCAAATGAAACACAAAAGAAGATTAATAAACCCACCAAACAGAAACACATGCAAACAGGCATGAATTAAAACAGAAGAGATCTAAACGAGAAGACAATTATTTTCAAATGATTGAGATCCAAGAGAAAGAAACCTTAAAAAAGAAACGGGAGTCACTCTTGTAATGGTAGTTTGCAGTGTTGTGGAGATTCCAGGGGCGGGAGAGGTTGAATATAACATTAAAAGATCCGAAAGATCAGAGCTCAGTTGTCATTATATCTTTAAGGAAAACAAGAGTTTTTGAACGATTGATTATTTGTTAGTTTGCGCTTTTGTCTTGTCAGCTCAGCCTATCTCTCTTCTTCACCACCTGTACTTGGGTTTGTTACCTAGCTATTAGTTTGGGTCTGAAGACTGACCAGTAAGGTGGTCTCTATAAACAATTTTATTTTGGTGGGCATATCCCAGCCAATTTATTTATCGACTAAAACTAAGTTTGTGATTAATATTGTTATTAAAAGTATTTTTTATATTAAAATATTTTTTTATATTTTTTAATATAAACATGTTAAAATAATTAAAAAGTGTTAAAAAATATTAATTAATTTTTTTAAGTGAAATGTATTTTTAAAACACATTCAAGAGTAAAAGTGATTAGTAATTATTAATGTTTACTTTTATTTTATGTTTCAAAATTTTTTTTCAAAAATTTTATTTTTTATTTTTTTTATTTTAAATAAATATTTTTTTATATTTTTATATCATTTTAATACGCTATATTAAAAATA